TATATCTGGTATTTACCAAACGTGGGCGTTTCCTTTGTCTCCCAGAGTATTTATTTGTCTGGTTAAGTGGGAGGAGGAAGGAATTCTACCATGCTGTTGCCCTAGTCCAGTGTTTGCCAATATGTGCCTATCTGTTAATTAAGAGATATTATAAGAAGAGGGTGTCCATATCCAACACACTTAAGAAAGCTAGGCTCAGCTAACTTAACCTGACTTTAATTATGAGATGTGACAGATCCTTTGCTGTCTTAGGGAAGTATATTACAAATGGGGTGGGGATGGGGCTTGGTCAGGGGCGGCAAGAGCACTCACCCAGCACACAGCATTTGTCAAACTTAATGAGACCCTGGGACCCTTTTTCCTCGGAACATTTCTGTGTCACCTGGAATTCCTTTGGAAACGATCCTCTGATCAGTGTAGCTTGAGAGCAGCATTTCCCATGGGCATGTCCTCCTGAAGGCTCGGCAAGAGAAGGAGCAGGCATTAGTTCTCGTGGCATTTGGTAGTTAAGTATCATGCGTGGGCTCGAGCCTGTCGTTATGGTACCAGTGCAGATTCCTTACTTAGGATGGTGCCACTACATGGACCACATCATCTGGCCGTTGTAGTGATTTCAAAGTAGATATTATAGTGCATAGATTTCCTGGGGAACTTAAACGGAGCGGCAGACATGCCTCGGCTCTGTCCACTCAGGTCTGCTGTTTGGTCACAGACATGCTTTGCTGTCTCATCGCATTTGGAATACCTTTGAGAATCTAGTGAAAGCTCTGGGTTGTCTTTCTGGAGGCATGTTTGTTCGTGACTTGATGATATTTATAGCCCTCACCCACACCCCAAGCCCACGGATCTCTAGTAAGAACTCCTGAATTAAATTTCCCCAAATATGAATATAATGGTAAGCAGGACTTTAGCCCAGAATTTAGATATCTGTGTACTCCATGCATTGCTTGGCCATGGTGAGATCAGACTGTATTTGAAGAAATTGCGGACTGTCACAGGCCGGAGAAGCCTGGAGAGGAAGAACGGCCAGTCCTGAGATGGTGGTGATTTAGTGTATCTTCCCAAGGAGGCAAGTTAAGGAGCTGATACCCTGAGAGCAGTGGCTCTCAAGGGAAGGGGGCGAGGTCCCCCCCACCCCTCCCCCGACATTTGCCAACTGGAGACATTTTTGGTTGTCACCATTAGGGCGGGGGCAGGGTGGGTAGCTTCTTGTAGGTACAAGCCAGGGATGCTGCTAAACATCCTATAGTGCATATGAGAGCCCCCACACAACGGAGAATGATCTGGGGCCAGTGTCAGTGGTACTGAGGTTGATCTGCCTTGGAGCCTAGCTGCTTCCTCCTGGACTGTGCCTCTCATCAGCAGTAGTGTCCGAATACGGAGGTCTGCATGTTTATTGACACCTGATGCTTCTTGGTAGAGATGGAGGAGGAAGGAGATGATGATGAGCGGGGTAGGAAGTGCAGGCGCCAGGTTGGTTTTTCAGAGAACTTTCCTTTCCCAGAAGTGCTGGATGCTTAAAGAGGACGTCAGCGCTCAGACCGGCTTAGCTCGTGGCTCCATGTGAGAATGTGGATGTAGGAAACCACCTGCTTTTTTTGCGTGGAAAGCTTATTGTTTTCTCTTACCTCACTCCTGACCTGTGACCTTTTGTCAGTTATACCTGTCAGGAGTAAATGCCAAAGTGATTTTTAAAAGTGTGGCTTCTCTAAGGGACTTTTTTATTTTTGCCACTTCTCCTTATTCCTACAACCTCATATCGCAATTTGGGAAAGATGATGGGGATAGAAAAGGTATATATTTTATTTACCAAAAGCGGGCTTTTCTTTTGTTTTCCAGAAGTATTTGTCCTGTGACGTGGGAGGAGGGAGGAATTCTGCCCTGCTATTGCCCCAGTCCAGTGTTGGCCAATATATGCTGAGCTGTTATTAAGAGAGATTATTATAAAAGGAGGGCCATAGCCAACAACTGAGGAAAGCTGGGTTCAACTGACTTGAGCTGATTTTTAAAAGATGAGGCTTTTCCTAGTGAAGTGTATTGGGGGGCATGGGAGAGGGGCAAGCACATAAGTACCTGGCATGTCTTAAATGTAATTAGACCCTTTTTTCTCTGAGCATCTCTTGTGTCACGTGGAGTTCTCTGGAGATGATGCTCTGACCAGTGTCGCTTGAGAGCAGCATTTCCCTGTGGCATCTTCTCCTGAAGGCTCTGTGAGAGAAGTTGAGAAGATCTCTATGATGAAGGAACTCTTCCAGCCCCACGGGCTTTATTAAATACAATTTGATTGCATTATATATCTTTAGCCCTGGCTGGTTTGGTTCAGTGGTTAGAGTGTTGGCCTCCGGAACGAAGGGTCTTAGGCTCGATTACCGGTCAAGGACGCATACCTTGGTTGCAGGTTCCCCAGCCCTGGTCAGGGCACATGCAGGAGGCAACCAATTGATGTCTCTCACATGAATGTTCCTCTCTCTCTTCCCCCTCCCCCCTCTCTAGAAATCAATGGAAAAAATATCCTTGGGTGAGGATTTTTTTAAAAATTGTATATATTTATCCACTTTTATCAAGTCTTACGAAAATAGTTGCAGTTTTTATCAGAGGGGTTGTTACCTTCTCCACTATATAAATACAAACCATTAATCTGTTTTGGAATGAATGAGAGGAAGAACTAAATTTTCTCACGGCAAAAACAGTTGTTTCTTGTGTTTTCTCATGGCAAAAACAGTTGTTTCTATAGGGTCTTCTGACTTTTTTTGTTTTCTCCCTGAGGAAATTATTAAGGTGGCTTAGGTCAGAATTACTCTGGCTTATTCAGGCTCCTATTTCAGAAGTTTTTAGTTGAAAACATTATACATGTATACGTATATCTTGTACATTTCTTGGGGTGCCTGGCAACATGGGGGCGGGACCTTCTCACACTTCTTCCACTTCACATGCTCAACTCTTCATGTCTAGCCATTCTTTCTTCAGGCCACTCTCTTAGAACCCAGGACATTGTGACATTGCAAGGATGGCATTGTAACTACCAGTCAGACTGAGGAGCTGATGTACTGAGTCACTGTCCCTCTTTATTCATTTCCATAATGAAACCTGCCAGCTTCGTTAATCTCTGGATCCTTCAAGCCAGCAGTAAAAGGAAAATTACATGGAGAGAGAAATACTACGTCGGTTACCCTATTCTCCACCTCCTTCTCATTCAGGATCACTTCTTGCTGCCACCACTCTAGACCCGTTTTGGACACTTGGACACACTGCCTTTCTCACTAGCTCATGGTTGGTTTCACATATGGAGCCCTGCCCTCCTGGCCCCTTCCCCACTGCAGACCTTGGTGCTTTGGGCTTATACTAGTAAGTACTTATTGAGGAAGTAGTGGGTTTTCTCTATTGACAGCCGTCTGGAGGGAGCCATTCTGTCAAAGTGTGAGGTTAGAAAAGCATTAGGTACCACTTGGGGGAAAGTAGCATCTTCAGAGCAGGGCATGACCAGATTTAATACCTGTTCAACATACCAGCTCTGTGCTGGGTAGCCTCAGCCCCCACAACAACTCTGTGGTGTTTATTGAGGAAGTAGTGGGTTTTCTCTATTGACAGCCGTCTGGAGGGAGCCATTCTGTCAAAGTGTGAGGTTAGAAAAGCATTAGGTACCACTTGGGGGAAAGTAGCATCTTCAGAGCAGGGCATGACCAGATTTAATACCTGTTCAACATACCAGCTCTGTGCTGGGTAGCCTCAGCCCCCACAACAACTCTGTGGTGTTTGTCCATGGCTGACACACCTTGCTCAGGATCCCCCTTCCCTCCTCTCTCTCTCCTTGCTCAGGATCCCCCTTCTCTCTCTCTCTCTCTCTCTCTCTCTCTCTCTCTCTCTCACACGGAGTGAGTGAGCAGATCTACCTTCTCTCTGGTTTTCAAAGCCTTTGGCCTTCGCTTGATCTCGAACTCCATTCCTGCTCAGAACCAGCTGTGTGACCTGCAGAGCAGAGCACCAGTTTTCAGTGCTGACCCTGCATTGGGCATGTTTGGAAATACTGTATGGGTCCAAACATTTTACAACTTGAACATAAAGGGAAAATCTTAGGCTTCTCCCCTAAAGGCAGTAGTAAATAGGATCTTGTAAATATTGATAACTTAGATGTATAGGATCCTTTGGAATAATACTATGGTACAGATATTGTAGTTTAAATGTTATACTCCAATCTTCTAATTTATAGGTTGCACCTATAAATGAGTTGTTACTCCTTTCTGAGCACAACTCTCCCATTTCCCCGTCTCATTAAGTTTCCATTTAGCTATTAGATAGGAGCTTCAAAAGGGAAAATCCAATCATGTATAATCTCCAGTTAATGGGCATCTATTGAGCGACTAGGTCACCAGAAAGAATAATTACACAGTGCCTCTTTGTGCGGTAAACACAAAACCAAAAGCTAATGCATTCCTAAGGCAAGCCAGATTGTTACTGGCTCGCTGCATCCTCCCTTCAGGGAAAAGGTTGGGGCCCCCACCATGCTTGCTGGGGGAGATTGCAAAGCCATTCCAGAAAAACAAGGCCATCAGGGGAGGAAAGAGGAAGGCTGGGGGCTGGGGGAGCACCTCCAGGGCTTTGTCAGTTCTAATTGCTCATGTTGGGGTGGGTTAGTGAGGAGCAGACATTCTAGTAAATGTTTTGTGCAGCCATCAGGAACTTAGTGGGTCTCTGGGGCTTCAAGCCACCAGTAAGAGAGTAACAGTGATGACGGAGGTGGAGCTTCGGCCCGCTGCCATAAGTCAGCCTGTTCTCAGTCGGCCCACCTTCATCTAAGTAAGACTTTATGCTTACTTTTCTGCATTGATTTATGAAAGATGAGCACAGCCCCCTTGGCCCCAAATAGTACATTAGCCACAAGCCACACTAGCTCCTGGGTTTGTTGGTACACTCTAGTTTGGGTTTTCAAAATTATATTTTGGTGTAGTTATTTAGGATTTGCAAAACTTGGCATAATTCAAATATCTGTTTTTCCCCCTTAGAACACTTCAGTTATGGAGGATCAAAATGAAGATGAGTCCCCCAAGAAAAATACCCTTTGGCAGGTAGGAATGACGGCGCACAGATCAGAGAGCAGTTGACTCACTCTAGACAAGATGCCCCTCAGCTCATGCCCTCATGAAAACAAGAGCCAAGCAGTTCTGTGTTTTTTGCATGTAATTTTACTAGTTTCAGAGCTCACCCTGATTTATCTTCTGATCCTTAGGGAAGTGTCATTATGAATAGTAAAGATTTTGGAATTTTCACAAAGATTCTGAAGTGACTGTGGCCTAAAATGTTCTGTGTCCACTAAGTCAGAGATGGACAGTGGTGGTGTTTTGTCAGAGATGGACAGTGGTGGTGTTTTGTCAGAGATGGACAGTGGTGGTGTTTTGTCACCAGCATGGCACCTACCACACACCAATGTATGTGCACTGAGGCCTGTTTCTCCCTGGTCCCATCCTTCTTCGTCATTTCCTATTGGGTTGCCCTTTCCTTCTAAACTCAGTTTCCTTCTCTCCTGGCTCTATCTCAGTTTGCCATTTTTCCTCCCAGCCCCATAGTCTTTTGTGGTGAGGTAAAGGGGACGGGGCATGTAAAGTTTCATGATTTGAGGATTCCTCAGTCATTATGGTACAAATCATTTTTCCCTTCATGAGGGCACAAAGGCACAACAAATCTAAATCTGAAGAGTAATGTTTACAAAATTCTCTAGGTTCATTTGATCTGAAACAAAAGGGTAGATTAGTTAGGAAGAGTGAAGTATCCCCAACACATTTAAGATGAAACGAAACAAATAAAACAAGGCCAGGAAGCTCTTCTGGGCCCCGCAGGGGGTTCGGAGTCTTGCCGCCGGTTTGGGGAACTGTGTGCAGACTGCCTTCTGTTTCCTCCTTCACATCTGTATCTGCAATAGGATTATCTTCACTTATTATTGATTTTGCAATTCAGTGTTAATACTGGCTTTCAGTTGTTCGTTTACCTGTCTTTTAGTCAACTAGTTAATGGTATACCATTGCTAGGGAGGGTAGATGGTTGGGAGCCTTTCTATAAATGAAATAATAACCCGTTTGCTTATCAAATGAGATAACGGTTATGAAAGTATTTTGTAAAGTATAAAGCAGTACATAAATGCATTTCATTACCATCCTTATATTTAACCTGTTGGGAAAGCAATTATTTGGCAAGTTATTATGAAAAAGTATAGTAAAGGAGGGGAAGGACAACATATATAGTTTTCTTTCTCAAGATTAGGCACTTTTAACATATTCATAAATATTCTTAACTTTTCCCTGGTGTGTTCACGTAAATTATTGTGATTATGCTATATAAAATTCTGCATCTCATCTTTTGTTCCTTAATATTATTTATAAAAGTGTTCTCTTGTTATTAAAATCTTATTTTGTAAACTAATTTTAATGGCTACCTTATAGCACTTGATGTAGATGTATTATAATTTAATTTGCTTAAACCTGTTGCCTGTATTGGGCAGTTCTAATTTTTCTGGATTATAAACATTATGGTGAACATCCTTATGCTTAAAAGTATCAAAGATGCTCCTTCTATCAGTCAATATTGACCACAGAGAAGAATTTTCACTTCATTTGATCGTTTTTGAGTGTTGATTTTTGTTCTGAATGTCTTACTAAAAGCAACATCAAAAACTTCTGTTCAAGGCTGCCCTCTGGTGGTGCCCAGTGTCAGGGAGCTGTCCCTCACCCAGTTTGCAGGGGGAAAACATTCCTGGGAGATAAATGCCTTCTGACTTCATACCTCTGAATGTGGACATAAGAACTTCCTTCTTACAGGAAAGGTTTCTAAGATTTTATCAAGGAAGGCCAGAGACTCCTTTGGAAATTTACAAAAGATGTCTTTCTGGAATGGGTTCAGTCGACTTTCTTTTAGGGCACAAACTGTAACAAAAGCTCTTGCTTCTTTCTATGAAAGACTTCCGAGAGAAGCTCCTACTGGCATGATGGGTGTTTGTAATGCAGCTCTGCAGTTTTCAAGGTTCTCATATGTTACTCCTTCTGGTATTGCACATGAAGGCGGCCATCAGAGGAGTGATGGGCAGATAGCTTGGCCAATGTTTGACAGAAGCGTTGAGGTTACTTTGTTTTTAAACAGGGAAGTTACTGAGCCTCAGATCAGTAGCAGTTGTGGCTTCAGTCTAGGGATTTAGATGTTTTTATGCTATTGTCCAGGTGCATTGCATTTAATTTCAATTTTTAAAAAACATACTCGTTTTTCACCGTAGCCGGTTTGGCTCAGTGGATAGAGCGTTGGCCTGTGGACTGAAGGGTCCTGGGTTCAATTCCGGTTAAGGGTTCATGCCCGGGCTCCATCCCTAGTAGGGGGCATGCAGGAGACAGCCATCATTGATGTTTCGATCTCTTTCTCCCTCTCCCTTCCTCTCTGAAATCAATAAAAATATATGTTAAAAAATACTGGTTTTATACTAGGACTGTGTAGATTTGATGAGAAATGCAGTTAGTATAGGAGTATGGGATATCCATAAACCTACTATATAAGGGAAAGAACCTTCTGAGTAGGTGAACAAAAGAAGGGAGTGAAAGTCTAAAGTTTTGCCAGCAGTTTGTAGGCCTGGCAACAATATGGAGATCCAAACTGTTTGGTAGAACAAAGCTTTTTAACCTTGTATGCACATAGGCATAACCCATGGACACAGACAGTAGGGTAGTGCAGGCCGGGGTGGGGGGCGGGGCGGGCTGGAGGGGGGAAATGGGGACATATGTAATACTTTGAGCAATAAAAATTAAGACAAAATAAATAAAATGAAGCTTTTTAGAAGCCATTGTTTCATGTTTCTCCGTTTGATAGACAAGCGGTTTTCAGAGTGTGGTCCTCAGCGCCAGCATCACTGGGAGCTTGTTGGCAATGCAGATGTTGGGCTCCACTCCAGACCTAGGAGTCAGAACGTCTCTGGTGGGGCTGCCAGTCTGCGTGCTAAGAAGCCCTTTGTTATTCTGATGAACGCCCAGTGCCGGAACCTTTGGCACAGACCAATCAAGCATTAACTTTTCAGCTTTGAGGAAGTAAAACTATTAATAGTCAATCAGTTGCCACTTTGCCAAGTGGAGCAGTTTTCCTAAAATGGTCATCTCTAACATTAGTTATCTGATAACAGCATGGTTTGGGAATAAGCATTAGAGAATGATGATTTAAGACACCATTAAGCTTTAGCAGTAGCTGTAACTTTGGCATTTACCTTTGAGACTCATTAGAGGATACGGGCTCTGAATACAGTTTTAATTATTTTCTGAATGAATTAATAAAGGATTGAGTGGCTTTAGGGTAAAACTGGCATTTTAAGATTAAATACACAGAGTGAAAAATGTTTCTAATGAAATACCAATTAGATTTCTTTTCCTTGTCAAACTAATTATGTTTGTGTGTGTATTTCTAAAATAGATAAGTAATGGAACATCATCTGTGATCGTCTCCAGAAAGAGGCCATCAGAAGGAAACTATCAAAAAGAAAAAGACTTGTGTATTAAATATTTTGACCAGTGGTCGGAATCGGATCAAGTGGAATTTGTGGAGCACCTGATTTCCCGAATGTGTCATTACCAGCATGGACATATTAACTCCTACCTGAAGCCCATGTTGCAGCGGGACTTCATTACCGCTTTACCAGGTAACTCTGCCTGTCTTCCCAGTGGAGGGACGCCAGCCCAGGGGCCTGGGCAGCTCTGCCGAGGCGTCTGTGGGACGAGAGGATGAAAGAGGACAGTGCGAGGCAGCACTGCTGGGGCCCACTGTGTTTTCCTCTGTGGCGTTTGAAGACCAGTGCAGATCTAGCGTCTCTAGGAAATGAAGGCAGTGTCTGTGATGAGTGGTGTGGATCATGGGCAACAGTATGTTTCCTTGAACTTGTTTAATGATTAATGCTGTGATATTTATTTTGATGTAGTCTAGATATAATCTGCATTTTGTCTTTATAACTAATTTTTTCTTAAAGGAACAATTTGTCCTATACTCTTTTGTGGGGCGCGGTTACGGTGTTTTGGCCAGGTTCAAGCCTCGGACTAATGAAAGGACGGGGTCCTCTCATTGCCACGTGCAAGTCCCAGCTGGAGGGCAGGTTTAAATGTTATACCCCAATCTTCTAATTTATAGGTTGCACCTATAAATGAGTTGTTACTCCTTTCTGAGCACAACTCTCCCATTTCCCCGTCTCATTAAGTTTCCATTTAGCTATTAGATAGGAGCTTCAAAAGGGAAAATCCAATCATGTATAATCTCCAGTTAATGGGCATCTATTGAGCGACTAGGTCACCAGAAAGAATAATTACACAGTGCCTCTTTGTGCGGTAAACACAAAACCAAAAGCTAATGCATTCCTAAGGCAAGCCAGATTGTTACTGGCTCGCTGCATCCTCCCTTCAGGGAAAAGGTTGGGGCCCCCACCATGCTTGCTGGGGGAGATTGCAAAGCCATTCCAGAAAAACAAGGCCATCAGGGGAGGAAAGAGGAAGGCTGGGGGCTGGGGGAGCACCTCCAGGGCTTTGTCAGTTCTAATTGCTCATGTTGGGGTGGGTTAGTGAGGAGCAGACATTCTAGTAAATGTTTTGTGCAGCCATCAGGAACTTAGTGGGTCTCTGGGGCTTCTAGCCACCAGTAAGAGAGTAACAGTGATGACGGAGGTGGAGCTTCGGCCCGCTGCCATAAGCCAGCCTGTTCTCAGTCGGCCCACCTTCATCTAAGTAAGACTTTATGCTTACTTTTCTGCATTGATTTATGAAAGATGAGCACAGCCCCCTTGGCCCCAAATAGTACATTAGCCACAAGCCACACTAGCTCCTGGGTTTGTTGGTACACTCTAGTTTGGGTTTTCAAAATTATATTTTGGTGTAGTTATTTAGGATTTGCAAAACTTGGCATAATTCAAATATCTGTTTTTCCCCCTTAGAACACTTCAGTTATGGAGGATCAAAATGAAGATGAGTCCCCCAAGAAAAATACCCTTTGGCAGGTAGGAATGACGGCGCACAGATCAGAGAGCAGTTGACTCACTCTAGACAAGATGCCCCTCAGCTCATGCCCTCATGAAAACAAGAGCCAAGCAGTTCTGTGTTTTTTGCATGTAATTTTACTAGTTTCAGAGCTCACCCTGATTTATCTTCTGATCCTTAGGGAAGTGTCATTATGAATAGTAAAGATTTTGGAATTTTCACAAAGATTCTGAAGTGACTGTGGCCTAAAATGTTCTGTGTCCACTAAGTCAGAGATGGACAGTGGTGGTGTTTTGTCAGAGATGGACAGTGGTGGTGTTCTGTCACCAGCATGGCACCTACCACACACCAATGTATGTGCACTGAGGCCTGTTTCTCCCTGGTCCCATCCTTCTTCGTCATTTCCTATTGGGTTGCCCTTTCCTTCTAAACTCAGTTTCCTTCTCTCCTGGCTCTATCTCAGTTTGCCATTTTTCCTCCCAGTCCCATAGTCTTTTGTGGTGAGGTAAAGGGGACGGGGCATGTAAAGTTTCATGATTGGAGGATTCCTCAGTCATTATGGTACAAATCATTTTTCCCTTCATGAGGGCACAAAGGCACAACAAATCTAAATCTGAAGAGTAATGTTTACAAAATTCTCTAGGTTCATTTGATCTGAAACAAAAGGGTAGATTAGTTAGGAAGAGTGAAGTATCCCCAACACATTTAAGATGAAACGAAACAAATAAAACAAGGCCAGGAAGCTCTTCTGGGCCCCGCAGGGGGTTCGGAGTCTTGCCGCCGGTTTGGGGAACTGTGTGCAGACTGCCTTCTGTTTCCTCCTTCACATCTGTATCTGCAATAGGATTATCTTCACTTATTATTGATTTTGCAATTCAGTGTTAATACTGGCTTTCAGTTGTTCGTTTACCTGTCTTTTAGTCAACTAGTTAATGGTATACCATTGCTAGGGAGGGTAGATGGTTGGGAGCCTTTCTATAAATGAAATAATAACCCGTTTGCTTATCAAATGAGATAACGGTTATGAAAGTATTTTGTAAAGTATAAAGCAGTACATAAATGCATTTCATTACCATCCTTATATTTAACCTGTTGGGAAAGCAATTATTTGGCAAGTTATTATGAAAAAGTATAGTAAAGGAGGGGAAGGACAACATATATAGTTTTCTTTCTCAAGATTAGGCACTTTTAACATATTCATAAATATTCTTAACTTTTCCCTGGTGTGTTCACGTAAATTATTGTGATTATGCTATATAAAATTCTGCATCTCATCTTTTGTTCCTTAATATTATTTATAAAAGTGTTCTCTTGTTATTAAAATCTTATTTTGTAAACTAATTTTAATGGCTACCTTATAGCACTTGATGTAGATGTATTATAATTTAATTTGCTTAAACCTGTTGCCTGTATTGGGCAGTTCTAATTTTTCTGGATTATAAACATTATGGTGAACATCCTTATGCTTAAAAGTATCAAAGATGCTCCTTCTATCAGTCAATATTGACCACAGAGAAGAATTTTCACTTCATTTGATCGTTTTTGAGTGTTGATTTTTGTTCTGAATGTCTTACTAAAAGCAACATCAAAAACTTCTGTTCAAGGCTGCCCTCTGGTGGTGCCCAGTGTCAGTGAGCTGTCCGTCACCCAGTTTGCAGGGGGAAAACATTCCTGGGAGATAAATGCCTTCTGACTTCATACCTCTGAATGTGGACATAAGAACTTCCTTCTTACAGGAAAGGTTTCTAAGATTTTATCAAGGAAGGCCAGAGACTCCTTTGGAAATTTACAAAAGATGTCTTTCTGGAATGGGTTCAGTCGACTTTCTTTTAGGGCACAAACTGTAACAAAAGCTCTTGCTTCTTTCTATGAAAGACTTCCGAGAGAAGCTCCTACTGGCATGATGGGTGTTTGTAATGCAGCTCTGCAGTTTTCAAGGTTCTCATATGTTACTCCTTCTGGTATTGCACATGAAGGCGGCCATCAGAGGAGTGATGGGCAGATAGCTTGGCCAATGTTTGACAGAAGCGTTGAGGTTACTTTGTTTTTAAACAGGGAAGTTACTGAGCCTCAGATCAGTAGCAGTTGTGGCTTCAGTCTAGGGATTTAGATGTTTTTATGCTATTGTCCAGGTGCATTGCATTTAATTTCAATTTTTAAAAAACATACTCGTTTTTCACCGTAGCCGGTTTGGCTCAGTGGATAGAGCGTTGGCCTGTGGACTGAAGGGTCCTGGGTTCAATTCCGGTTAAGGGTTCATGCCCGGGCTCCATCCCTAGTAGGGGGCATGCAGGAGACAGCCATCATTGATGTTTCGATCTCTTTCTCCCTCTCCCTTCCTCTCTGAAATCAATAAAAATATATGTTAAAAAATACTGGTTTTATACTAGGACTGTGTAGATTTGATGAGAAATGCAGTTAGTATAGGAGTATGGGATATCCATAAACCTACTATATAAGGGAAAGAACCTTCTGAGTAGGTGAACAAAAGAAGGGAGTGAAAGTCTAAAGTTTTGCCAGCAGTTTGTAGGCCTGGCAACAATATGGAGATCCAAACTGTTTGGTAGAACAAAGCTTTTTAACCTTGTATGCACATAGGCATAACCCATGGACACAGACAGTAGGGTAGTGCAGGCCGGGGTGGGGGGCGGGGCGGGCTGGAGGGGGGAAATGGGGACATATGTAATACTTTGAGCAATAAAAATTAAGACAAAATAAATAAAATGAAGCTTTTTAGAAGCCATTGTTTCATGTTTCTCCGTTTGATAGACAAGCGGTTTTCAGAGTGTGGTCCTCAGCGCCAGCATCACTGGGAGCTTGTTGGCAATGCAGATGTTGGGCTCCACTCCAGACCTAGGAGTCAGAACGTCTCTGGTGGGGCTGCCAGTCTGCGTGCTAAGAAGCCCTTTGTTATTCTGATGAACGCCCAGTGCCGGAACCTTTGGCACAGACCAATCAAGCATTAACTTTTCAGCTTTGAGGAAGTAAAACTATTAATAGTCAATCAGTTGCCACTTTGCCAAGTGGAGCAGTTTTCCTAAAATGGTCATCTCTAACATTAGTTATCTGATAACAGCATGGTTTGGGAATAAGCATTAGAGAATGATGATTTAAGACACCATTAAGCTTTAGCAGTAGCTGTAACTTTGGCATTTACCTTTGAGACTCATTAGAGGATACGGGCTCTGAATACAGTTTTAATTATTTTCTGAATGAATTAATAAAGGATTGAGTGGCTTTAGGGTAAAACTGGCATTTTAAGATTAAATACACAGAGTGAAAAATGTTTCTAATGAAATACCAATTAGATTTCTTTTCCTTGTCAAACTAATTATGTTTGTGTGTGTATTTCTAAAATAGATAAGTAATGGAACATCATCTGTGATCGTCTCCAGAAAGAGGCCATCAGAAGGAAACTATCAAAAAGAAAAAGACTTGTGTATTAAATATTTTGACCAGTGGTCGGAATCG